TCTAGATGCTGAGATTCCTAGGGTAACAGCACTAATTTACAATAACCCTCTGGTTTCATTTTCATCAACCAAGCAATACATAACCTATTTTGTTTGTTTTTGTTTAAAGACATCTTATTTAAGGTATACTGTTAATGCATTAACATTGAACTCATGGCAATAGCATTATTACTCATGACAGAATGAAGCTTATCAAGATGTAGATTTTCTCCCTAAGGACATTAAGCCTTCTCATGTTTAGAAACACTAGACAGCACTTCAGTACTAAGCCTGGGGCCTTTTTAAAGAGTACAACAAAATATAAACAAAACAAAAGATATGCAATGAACATATCTCAAAAATGGCATTTGCTAAGAATTTAAAAGCTAAAGGGGGATGTAGACTATATCTCCAGCTGCCAGCTAGGACTGTGTGCATTCAATGACTCAAACTTTGCTCTGCGTGAGTCCACAAACGATTCTGAAAGCCAAGTCTTGATTTGGAAGTTACAAGCAAATTTTAACAGATTCAGAAATCTAGATTCATAAATAAGATCAACTTTATATGATTATTAATTCAGAAAACTGCCACACATCTGCAAAATAACAGACTTTAACAAGAGATCATACACCATTTATAATAAGAGCAATTTTATGCATGTTGGGCACTATGGTAAGTGTCTCATATTTGTTTTTATCTCATGTACTTCTCACAGCAAATGTACTACCTAGCACTATGTAGAGTAGTATAGTTTTTATGAGTTGTTTTTTTTTTTTAAACCCTTGCCCTTACTTACACTAGCTACCAATCTTATCCCTAGGCAAGAAACCTTAAGTTTTTCTTTTAATAATTTATATTAATGTACTTATTCACTAATCATTCATTTTCATACAACTTACTGCCCTCCATTCCACAGAGTCTAATAGATCTCACAAAGGGACGGAGAACCTCCACTCACTGAAAGTTGTTGCTGTAAAATAAACCGATGTTTTCAGTCTTGTAAATTTAAGATACAACTGAAACACCAGTTATTTTCTGATTATACAGTTGTCCAAAATCACAGGTGTTTGAAACTTTCCAGTTGGAAGATTAAGACAGCATTTAAAAGACAGGATTCTTAAGATGATTTAATTTAGAAATAAATTTGAGTACCTGTTGTCTTCCAATATGGAAAACTGCTCATTGTACTTCAAAACATGTCAAGTGGACAACGTGTTAAGCTTTCAAGACTTGAAATACTACATTGCAGGATTAACAAGTTTTGTAACAGTAAGAATGGATTAGGAATATACCTGCTATAGTTAAACAAAAAGGTACTTCTAGAGTAAAGCTGAAGTACCCTAAATAACACAGCACTGTAATTGTTTGTTCTAAAGGTCATTTTCCCTCAAAGTAGTTTCATAATATACAAAAAGTATTATGGGTTAGCATTCCAATTATATTATACTATAACATTACAATTTTATAACACATTGCTATAAATGGTTAAGTTGCATGATTGATTCCACTGATATAAAAGTAACTTTCATACCTAAACAGCAATATACTCTGTAGAGTCTATAACTTTAGTAACCACTGAAATCATATATATTTTGTTCTCCTTATAACAGGAAGATTATTAATATCTTTAAAACAAAAGTGTAATTTAGGAAAATAATCTTCAGATTTCTAAGTGGGTAAGTTTTTTCTAAACATAAAAATAGTGGAAGAAAACCACAAGGTTTTAACTAGACAATAAGCACCACAAGGCAGTAATAGAAGTGCCAGCAGACCCTCAATAAAAAATGAATAATGGATGAAAATGCTACTGTGTATAGTAACTGGAAATCATATGTGACAAAAATTTATGAACAGAATAATAATATAAACAGCAAACTTAAAATGTTTATCTTAAATGAGGTAGTAAATATTCCTGCAAATGTTAAATAATCAAAATATAAATTAAAAGCACCAGGTGCCTTTTTTACCCAGTAAAGATTACAGGAAATGATAGGATGGTAATAATGCTTTTCTCATACCTTGCTGGTAGATGTGACAGAATGACAGATGAGAGAGAGTGTAATATTTTAATTAAATTGTTTTGTGTAGAATGTGTATGTTCATATGTAATAACTGAGGTTGTAGTATGTTCAGTTTATTGCACATCATAACAAACACTTTTCTATGTCATATCAAAAATTCTCATTATTTTGCATGAATGTGCCACAGTGTTAACAATGCAGATAACATTTCATGTTAAGGCTTGTATTAAAATTTTTTTGTTGTTATAAGTAATGTTGTAAGAAATAGTGTAGATAATGAAATACTACTCTGATGAAATCTTGCCACTCATGACAATATGGATGGAACTGGAGGGGACATGGGTGGAAGTGGAGGGGATTAGAAAATAAGGACAATGAAAAAGACAAATAAGGACAATGCTAAAGAAAATAAGGACAATGAAAAAGACATTTACTGGATAATTTCATTCATATACAGAATATACAGAAACAAAGCAAAGGGGCAAAACAAACCACAGCACTTTGCAGAATTTAGACTACAAGTCAGGGAGGATGCAGGGTGGGTAGAAAAGAGGAGAAAGGATTAAAAGTGGAGGGTTATTGGTCCTTTTGTGGTTGGTATGGTGTGGTGACATACATTTGAAGAGGTGTGAATCTGTTCCGTAAAAACATACAAAATATTATAAACCAATGTTATCTCACTGAAATAAACTTTAAAAAAGAAATCACATAGAATCTTGATGCTTTTTTTTATTATGGAGTGAGGCATAATTTTTTTTTTTTAGTTATCTTCCTATGAAATATGTTTTTCACAATAGTTCCCATTTGTTTTTGAAGTTTCTTAAAATGTATTAAACTCTTATACATAAGAAGATCTATGCAGCTGTCTATACCCATACTATCTGCATTTTAATGTGTGCCTAAAATATGAAAGACCATATTTTTCATTTCTGGGTCAGATTGAAAACATCTTACACTTCAAACACAAAGATTCCATAGCTATACTAAATAATTTTCTACTAAGCCTGAATTATATACCAATGCCCTGAGTAGTCTTCCACATGCCACCTGCTTAATGTTTCTTCTCTCATTTATTCTCAAAAAGAGCTCCAACTGGGGCCCTCCCTGGTGGCACAACAGGTTAAAAGCACAGCACTGTGAAGCTCTCCACAGCCACTACTGCATGAGATTGATCCTTGGCAGGGAGGTGACCTACATGGGGTGGCAGAACTCTCCTGATCTGCCCACTGCTCCCCTCAGCAGTGTATTTCAGTACATCTGCCTATTCTACTCCCCATTCTGCCTCTGGTGAATTCTTTCATCCCTGTACCTCTGACCTGTACCCAGCTCTTGTATGCATAAATAAATAAATCTTTAAGAAAAAAAAGAACTCCAACTATGGTACAAGATCCATCCCACCACACCTACACGTCAACTCCAACTATGGTACAAGATCCATCCCACCACACCTACACGTCACTATGCTGCATTCGCACATTAATCCATCACATGGACTGCAGGATATTTATTATTCCAACCAAGAAGAAATAAGAGAAACATTTGTCTTACCACAAAAGAAACAAGTTATAATCTCTCTTTCCCTTATCCAAACCAAAAAGTGGATTACCTTACCTCAGAGGTCTACTTCAATAGTGTCAAAACTGAAACCCAGTATGTGACCTACAAGACATTTGACAGCACTGGCAAATTCTGTTCCAGATGAAACTATTAGAATTCTGGAGTCATGGTTACCAAAGTTCACCAATATAAAGCAGCCCGAGCTACTATATAGCAGATATAGAAAAACAAGGTATAAACCAAATATACTAAATTCCAGATATTGGGAAATAAAGGTAACTTAAGCTCTCTTTTGAAAACATTCATCTCCAACTAGTTTGTTGACGTGCTTTATGATATTTAAATATTTATAAATAAGGACAAAGAAGAAATCATGAATTGTAAAATGCTGAACTCTGCAAGTATAACTACAATTCTCCCAGTTTTTCTTCAAATTATATGGAATTCTGGGTTTATATAACACTATTTGTAATGAGGAAAACATTGCTATGCCTTCCTATATAACTCTGATGTGTACAAAACATTAAAATAGTAGCTACAACATATTGAGTACTTACTATGCACCTACCAGCACTATTCTAAATGTTATATTTGCCTTAACTCATTAATCCTCATAAGAAATATGATTACCACCCCAACTTTATATATTAATAATCAATCAACAAATGAAATAGTCACAATTTAAAGCAAGGCACTATACATGCCTGCTTTTCCAAGTCACATAAAACAGCCCTTTGTCCCACTTAATGTTTCGTCCCTCAATAAATTTTGACACTTTGAGCTCTTATTTTTTGGGAAAAAGCTTGTCTTTTTTTTTTCATTGTTAATATATATGTGATTTTAAATTATATGTTCAACATCACCTCCTCTGAAAGTCATTAACACTATGAAATACACAATTGCATCATTTTAACATCTATTATTAGCTTTTTTATAGTTATTATATTTCCTCTTATACTTTGAACCTATGTTGTTCACTATCAATGTCTCATTCATCTATATGATGAATTATATAATTAGAAAAATAATTAGTGCTCACAAAATGATTATTGAATTAAATAACACAAACCATAAAAATTCTAAACATGAAATTATTATTAGCTATTATACAGTAGTATTATTGATATATGGGTTACTTATATTTTTATACTGCACATATTAGGTTTAACATAATTTCTAGTATTGCAGTAATCTCAGTATTACTCCTCTACTAGTTTATCTGCTAATCTACTCTATTTTAGATAAGAACAATAGTTTGGAGACCCATTCAGTTTCAATTTACTTTTTTTAACTTGAAAATTTATATTTTGCATCACTGCTCATTTCTATACAAAGTTTCCTTTCTTTTCTCAGGTGTAGTCCCCATAGAATTCCCACCACCAATTCACCCATACTCTATCACCATAGTCCCCTGTGCTCCCCCACCACTGGCACTTCTCTTACCGCTTGCCTCGTGGATAATGTCGCACGTACTCTCCAACATCATGAGCAGCAACGGCTAACACTTGTGGATCATCTGATACCTCCAGAAGTTTTGTCAAAATTCTGAAATAAATTTAAAAAGACTGAATCTTAATGCTTCTATACAGCACAGCAAAGCATTGGTATAAAGTGAATACCATTCTGAAATAAATGTTTATATATGTATATGTATATAATATATATATATACACATATACTCTTAGAAAATAGAAAATTCTATTTTCTACAGACTTCATAATATATTACACATAAGTTAACAACTTTCAAACCTTTACATATATATAACAGGTTATTTTCAAATTCACAAATTAAATTACACACCATTCTCAAACTATCAGGCACTCCCGTTCCTCTCAAAAAAGAAAAACAAGGCATGAGTAAATGCTACCTTAATTACATTTAATAAGAAGGATCTGTGGATCCTTAGAATTATATTTTAAAAACAAATCATTTGCAGAACTTTTGTTAGTATTTTAGAAAAATTATTTGCAGATGTGATCATGGAACTGAGCTCTGAGTATATACATATCCCTCTTTTCCTGCTCTGACTCACACAACATACTTCTACAAATACAGCAAAATTCATAACAGCACACATTTTTGAATAAAGACTGTCTATCTAATATTTTCTCAAGAACAATATACAAACTGAGTAAAACACCTGCTAGAGCCTGACAAGGACTTTAGAGAAGAGGCATTAACCACGACCAATAGAGAAGATCCCCTCTGCTGGGAGCCTAGAGCCATGACCATGACCTCCTCAAGATCTCCAGGAAGAGGGTTCCTTTTACGTAAAGGAAGTGTCTGGGGGAACAGAAAGAAGGGGGCTATACTGTTTAGAATCAACAGGGGAAAGGCTGCCTTCTCTTGAGTGCAAATGCAGATCATGGAACAGAAAATTCCTATTATTAAAACTGCCAAAAGACACAAATCTAAAAACTTTTCAACTCATTCTACAAGCAAAGAATAACTATGGTGACCAATCAGAATGCATCTGTTTTAATGCATAAATAGAAGACTTACATATTTTTTTTAAGATTTATTTATTCATACAGAACTGGGGTACAGGCCAGAGATGCGGAGGGTGAGAGGATTCACCAGGGACAGAGTGGGGTGCAGAACAGACAGATCGAGGAAGTACACGGCTGAGGGGAGCAGCAGGAAGGTCAGGAGAGGTCTGCCACGCCAAGTGGTCACCTCCGGGGCAGGCGGGAATCGAACTCATGCGGAAGTGGCTTTAGTTTCTCAGTGCTGTGCTTTAACCTGCTGCGCCACCAGGGAGGGCCAAGACTTACATATTTTTAAAAAACTGCTTTTTAGTCTTTCAGCAATAGTCACTTAGATACAGACATATTAAAACCATAAAGAATTAGCTAGATGAACTCAGTAGACTACCTAGAGAATCTATTTACTCAGCTCTCAACTCAAATGTCACCTCTCTTGCTTGAGAGCCTCCAATTATGCCGAGATGATACATCACGTCCCCATTATTCTCCATGTCCTTTTTAATTTTATATTTCAACACAGAACTAATCACTACCAGCTATTATATGTTAGATAGTTATATAAGGATTTTCTCGGTTTTTCCCTCAAAATACAATGTAAGCTTAATGAGAATAAGAGCTTGGTTTTACTTGCCATTGTATCTAAAATATATGTTACAGTATTGACTGTGCAACCGACACTCAATAAATGCTTGATGGAAAAAATAATTAGTGTATAACAGTGAGGTCAACTGGGAAAAATAATTTTGACAGTGTCTAACAAAATCTAAAATGCACAACCCTTCAATCCTGTAATTCTGTTTCTAAGAATCTACCTTTAAAAATATTTTCACAAAGCTTTCTATGTATACTACTTAACAAATATGGCCATGTAGCAGGGTTGGGCTTTTTTCTGTGCAATGACAGGAACTAGTGAACAAAGCAGCTTCATATTATCTAATTCCTACAACCAAGCTTACCAATTCTTCTTATTTTACAGAGAAGTAAACTGAGGCTCAGTGAAATAAAATAGCCAAATTTTAAAAAATATTCAGCCAGTCCTCCCTAATGGCATAGGGGTTAAGTTTCAGTGCTAACATGCTATGACCTAGCATTGTAAGTTCAATTCCTCACCAGGGAGTTAACTCACATATGGTGAAGCAGATCTCTCGTCTGGCCCACTACTCCCCTCAGCAGTGTTTTTCAGCAGATCTGCCTGTCCTTCTCCTCATTCTGTCTCTGGTGAATCCTCTCCATTCACTCCGACCCCCACCTCTGACTGACACCCCAATCTTTCTATGCATAAATAAATAAATCATTTTAAAGAAAGATTCAGTCATTTAAACGATCCCAAATAAATAGTAATTAAAAGATCAGTTAAGTAAAAAGACTAGTCATGAACTAACTCATTTAAGGTGGTGACAACATCTAAGTTCCTCTACCTAGGCAAGTCTATGGACAGGAGTGTATAATGCCTATTGATTCTGTTTACCATGGGGAAGAATTTGAGGTAAGACAGTAAAAATGTCTTGAGTTCTGGAGACCTTCAAGAGTACCTGACTGATTTGGCCCCATGCTGTTTAACAATAACTTAGACATAAATATTTAACAAATCTCACAATTTAGAAAAAAAGTTAACCTAATATTCTCAAGATGTTCATGATGTTATTATCCCTTACAACTATGAACTTAACATTAAGTTTACATTTCAGTTTCAAATATTTGAGAAAAAATGAAACCACTTAGTTATCTGCATAAAAGCATTTACAATATGCAAAATATGTCTTATTCTTAGTCTTTACTAGAAAACAATTTGAATCACAACTATCTTTGCTCATACCATCTGCACGAAGTCAAATACTTCAAGGGGTAAATGTTGATAATCTGCATGATTTTTGAAAACCAGCAGGCAAACTGGGAGGCTCTTTATTTCTAGAGTACATTTATTTGGTAATGCAACCTTAAGATTGTAGTTTAAGCTTTCTCTGCCATCTTTCTTTCATCATCTTAGCCAATCAAATAGTTAAAACTATGTAGTATGTATAAACAACAGGAAGCACTGATAAAGAACACTGTTTCAATCAAGTGGTAATTTCATTATGAAGCAATTACATGTCTCCTATCTTTCAGACTAATTGGGAAATCAGCACTTCTAAATATAAGAAATAAGCATTTAATATACACATGCAAGTTCCAAACTGTGTAAATTTATTCCTCACAATAACCCATAAACAAAGAAATAAAATCCAGAGGAGTTATGTAATCTGCCTAAGGACAAAACAAGTACTGAAACTGAGAGCTAAATTATTTGCTGAGTGTCACCCACACAAAGCACAATAGTACCCTGATGGCAGATCATTCAATTTAAGCACATAACAATCCACTAAGAAAAAATAAAGACATTGAGTCCATTTTCCTGTATACTTATACTTTTAAAATTTTAAACCACATTCTTTATAAAAGGCCAACTTGCAAATTATTCTAAAGCTAAGTTCAATTTAATTCACTTGAAACATTTTAATAATTTCAAAAGACTAAATTACTTGGATGTTATTTTATTATTTTGAAATGCCAATGATTCTTTTTTGAAATAAGAATATTAACACAAGGCTCCCTGAAAGTATAACAAATTCTTCTGAATACCTTAAACCAGAAGTCATCAAATTACAGCTCAAGTTCATCTGTGCCTGTTTTTATAAATAGTTTTACTGGAATACAGCCATGCTCATTAATTCTCTTAGTGTCTGTGGCTACTTTGGTGCTACAAGGACAAAAAAGAGTAGTTGTGAGAGAGAATGGCTCACACAGGCATGTTTACTACTGGGCCTTTAGAGAAAATGTTTGCCAATGCCTGTCTTAAAGCATAGTCAAAGACTCAAGTCCTTCATAGGACTGAGATCCCTGCAAACCAGCCCTGCAAACCACTCTCACCTGAACACCTATTAGAACTGCTGAATGACAAACCCAACCTAGACCATTAACACTTGAATGGAATAGTGTCAGATTCAAAGTACATTAGAACTAGATTCTTTAATCATAGAGATTTTCTTCTCAAAGTTAGGAAACAAGTTATTTTAATGGTTGTGCTTTATAGGTTCACTTAGTTCACTGAATAACTTCTTGTGAAGATAAAATATATTACTGTATTATTATCTGAAAATCTATTAAGCATGCTTTCTATTTCTATATTCAAATGATCAATAAAAAGAGTTTTGAAAGAGTAAGTTCAACAAAGGGAGATTCTGTGGTTAAGCAAAGAGTTTCTTCTACCTCTAAATGCAATTGTTAAATCAACAATAGGTTCATCAACCATAATCCAAGCAATTCACTTATCATCATATTAACCACAATACTCCAAACAGATCAAGAAAATAATACACCACCACTCTGGAGTTAGACCAAAAGTAAATTCTGGCTCTGATATTTGCTAGAAGTTTAATTTTGGAAAGTGTCTATTCAAACCCAAAACAGAATTTAATTATGATCCTAATAGGTCACTTCACAAATTTGCTCTTGTTCTCTTTCACAATGTTGTTCCTCGGTTTCACAAACTAGTTTGCACCTTTTGCTTTTGCTTTTCTCTTATTTATCATCTGTCCTAATTCTTACATTTCACAATTATTTTCTTATTCAAAATATATACCTAATTCAAAATTTTCTGAATACTATCACATTCAAAAACGAAAGAGTAAAAAAATTAACTTAAATCACATACTTGTTAAGTTTAGAAACATCTGGAAAATGGGTCAGAGCCTGACATAAGTCCAGTTCTCCACAGACAAAAAGGCCAGTAGACACTGTACTTTTTAAAAACAGAATAAAGATTCCATCTGTATTTATTTAATCATCTAATTTTAAGGGTAGCTTTAGAATGTCCCTCCTGTCAATCATCCCCATGCTAATTTATATGAATAAAAAAATAAAGAAAAATAATAAACTTCAGGGTCATGCCCAGGAAACATGTTAGCATTCTCAGGAAAATATCTCCCTGGGGACATCCAAAAAGTTTAGTGTTTCATATCACCTCATTATTGGAGAACACTTGATTACCTAATCATCAGCATTACTGAAGATGAGCTG